GAGTTTCGCGGTGACGCAGCTAGACAATCTCGAGTGGCTTGGTGGTAGAGGATACAGTCATTTCGGGCTGTACATCCACGGCATCCAGCACACGAAAGCGGATGGCGAGACGGTGACGGGCACATACCTGCCTGTCCTCTTCGAGAACCTGGCTGATCCCATACTGAGTGGAAGGGAGGAGCTAGGCTTCCCCAAGCTCTTCGCCGAGCTCGATGTGAAGAGTGACGACGGCAAGTGGACGCTCGACGCAGGCTGGATGTCATCCAAGTTCTGCAGCATGTCACTGTCCGGGCTGCAGGAACATTCTGCAACGAATGGTGAGGCGCCAAGACTCTCTCCTCCTCTTCCGAAGGACGAGGGCCTTTTGTTGCACAAGTATGTACCGGCTACTGGTAACATGGGTAGTAAGGAGCGCGGGCAGACGGATGTGGAATACACCGCTTTTCTGCCGGGTGAGGAGGATGCGAAGACAGTGGAGAAGAAGGTCGAGCGGACGTTGAAGGCGAGCTCGGCTGAAATTTCTTTCGACGCTCTGGATTGGAAGGCGCTGCCAACGCTGCATCACATCGTCGAGAGACTCGAGGAGGTGCCTGTGTACGAGGTCATCGAGGCGAAGGTAGTCGAAGGTACCGGAGTAAGCGACGTGAGCTCGATTCGGAAGCTAGCCTGAGCTGTATCATCTGTCGCTGTTGTCAAATCTTCTAGTTAGCATAATCCCAACGACCATAACTTCCAAAAGCGACTTCCCACCTGCAATACTGTAATGCCTTTCATTCTTCATCTATCAAAAGGCCCCCAACTCCTACAAATGAGACATGCGCTTGTCCTGAAGCTATAGATATAAATGGGGTATTACCAGGTTCTCCATCTATCAGTTGCCGCCGCCAAAAACACCTTACTGCCATGCCATATCAATGCAACAAATACAACATAGGGAAAAAAAAGTGATGATTCAATGCATCTCATCCGAAGAGTTTGGAAACATCGAGTCTGTGCTGGTTTGTTGAGTCGGCTTCTTGGGCGCTGCCTTCACTGGAGTGCAGTCGGACCAGTCTGACTCTGCCGGCGGTTCCGGCGCTGTGCTGGCGGAGGAAGGATGCCAAGAAGGGCGAATATATGCGTCCTCGTCCGGGACATCCGCGCCTGTACTGGGTCAGTCGTGAGCCCTGCAAAAGACTCGCTGAGGTGGAACAGCCCAGAGAGACACGCAGGGAGGATCTACGCACTCGCGACGCCCAGACCCTCGCAGAGTCTCTTCCTCCACTGTCCACAGACGTCCTCAAACCCATCCAGCACGTTCGCACATGCCCGTTTCGCCTCCCTCTCTTTGAGCCGCCGGTCCCAGTCCCCATGCTCGATATATTCCTGTCCTTCTTGCGTCTTCTCGTTGTCGCGTTTCCAGTCTTGCAGCTGTTCTTTGCTGACCTTGAGCCTTCTGGCTGCATTTGCGGTTGTTTGCCGTGACATGTGTAGGGTATCGCTAACGTTTGAGAGGTGTTGGATGAGTTCGCGGCTCGAGTGGGTAAGGTGGGAGATGGCAACGAGCGGATCGGCGGAAGGGTGGGGTAGCAGCTCCAGTGTGGACTGTATGATGGGGAGAAGTTCGTCGATGTCTTCCGGGTCAGGAAGGATGGCGAACGGGCCTGAGAAGGAAACGGCGATGGACGTAAGGGTACGCGATTGGTGTGTCAGATGCGTTGTCAGAGCCTCATGGGCAGTCTTTAGTCTGGGGTTTGTTAGCGATATGACTGGACACGCCTGCGAATTGGAACTTACCTCGTCGCTCCGTTCTCCATAGCAATCTGGCTGCCAAGATCTCGGAGTTGTTGTGTGACCCTCTTCACCACCTCGTCGGATGCGCTCCCATTCTCCTCCATGCCTCTCCGTGCCAGACTCTCGATAGCAGCCATCCGCGCGTCGAGCGCGGGCGAGATGCCCTCATTTTCCAGGTCAGAGTCGTCACCGTAGTCGGAGCCGTCGTACAGCGACCGTTGCCTTGTGTGCTTTTTCGTCTTAACGGCCGACCCTGGACTGAGGCGCGCCGGAGACGAGTCCTGCATGGCAACCCCACTATCCCGTACACCGTTGAGACTAGCTGCGCTGTCGACTCCATAAGAGCCGTCGTGCTCTACAGCCGTGCCGATGTTCTCGTCTTGTGCTTCGTCCAGTTCCTCGCCGTATTCGCCCTCCATGCCCTCGTCGTCATCGTCGTACATCTCGCCGAGCTCGTCGGCCAAGTTGCCCAAGCCATTGCTGTCTCCTCCGCCATCGAATTGGTGCGCGGGGCTGTGTTCGAAATCTTGCGATGAGCGCGGCGTTATGGGCGAGTAGCCAGAGTTGCGGCGGGTGAAGGACTGCCGTCTCGACGAGGTGTTGAGTGACATGTCTAGACTGGAGGGGTGTCGGCGGTGCGAAGATGCAGGCCGCTGGGTGGGAGTGCTGGGAGGGGACGACATGGCGTTGTCGTGGTATTGCGATAGTCGCCGGTGTTCCGAACACGTCGAAGGCTCGTGAAGTCGCGGAAATGAACAAAGGCGGACCGCATTAGGAGTCCCCAGTCGGAGATCTACGCGGGAGTGAACCGTGATCCAGGGCGCGCAATGCGCGTCAGCCTCGCAGCACCTGCACGACGCGGCTCTGCCCTAACAAGCCGCCAAAAGTCTATGTAATTGCGCTGGGATAGGAGGTCCTGTGGCGGGGTATCGGCGTCTTGACGGCCTCAGACCTTCAGCGACGGTGCGGCCTTGGCTGCGGCTGCGGAAATGCGCCTCAGGTACCAAGTGCTATGATGCGTGATGATAAGTGGCTTGTGCCGCTTAGCGATAGAGCGCGTGCAGTGAGGGCGTGCGAAATAACAACGATGGAGCCTCGGTTGCCGTCCAGCCGTCGAGCCTGGTGTTTGTTGACGCTTGCCGTGTGTTTGGAATTAGTGGCTTGCGCAAAGGCTTGTGGACCCTTCTTTGCACGAGTGAAAGGGGTATGGGTATCCCAGTAGCAGGTGACCTTGATACGATGACGCTCGTATTTCACTCATATACTAGTATGCAGCAGTCGTGTCTGATATAGTAACGACTGTGGATTCTTCATAGCTGATAGCACGTTTTGACTCAGACACATGTCAGACAATACGACCTTTTACGTCCGAACGCTCTCCAATGCTGTGTAACCTCAATCCCAAACACTTTCAAGATGGGTATCGCGTGCGATCATCCTAAGCTGGGCCGAAACACGCTCACAAACTCCAAGACGCCTGAACATGACCTTACTCATGCCGCTATAGGTACTGCCATATAGCACCCATGCAACTCAATGCCCACAGAACTCCTGTAATGCCCTCATAATGCCGCTGAAATGGATATCGGGTGTGTATGCGATTATTGCGCGGGTTTGGTCTGCTCGAGACTGGCGATCTGCTTCTTCAGCTGTGTAAAAAAGTCCTGGCCGGTCGGCATGAGGTGTGTCATGGTGCCTGGTCTCTGTCAGTATGCCAGTCTCAGTGGTGGTTCGATGGCGCCTTACCTCCTTTGCCCCATGCGCCAGTGCTTCGGGTTGGAACAGAGTCACCGGGGACCTTGTGGTATACCGAGGGTTGGTCTGAAAGCATGTTAGTCCTCTGGACATGCGCGCGAGTGTTGGAGAGGTTCGTACTGGCTGTGCTCTCAAGGTATTCTGCAATCGATTAGCTCATGCCATATCGTGTTCCAGCAATGCCATAGACGTACTCTTCTTGAGGAAGTCCCTGACCTCGTTCGCATTGAACTCCTTCACGGGTACGTGCTGGTCGGGCTGCGCTTGAGCTGGTGCAGCCGCGGGGCCTGATCCCTTCCCCTGCTTGGCTCCCCATACGTTCCCCGTGGGCGCTGGCATGGCCTGCTGCCGGCCTGCATTGTCCTTGGTGGGGGTGTTTGCGCCCGAGTTGGAGTTGCGGTTGGCTTGACCCTGCCGCCGCCAGCTGTACCAGTCGTCAGTATACATGAGCTCACACAGCTTCGCGTGCGCATTGTCTCAGACGTACCGATTTTCTCCCGGGCCACTCATGTTCGGTATGGAGCAACGGTGGGATGTGAGGAGGGGTCGGGTCAAGATATAAAATGGTGGAAGCTCTCCAATCGCTCATGCAGCGCGCGAACTGCGTCTGTGCTGCAACGTCTAAACCAATGGGCGCCCGATGACATATTATAGCTGCGACCTCTTTCGGCCAGCTCACCAGTGCTAGCCGCTTTCAGGCCTATTTCAACACTATTCACAGCCATTATCCAACGACTGGATGGCATTTTTTGGAGCTTTCTAATCCGCGCCGATGTGTTGTACATCACGTGTGCTGCCCTCCAATGGCAGGAGCCACCGGACGTGTCCAGCCTACGCTAGCTACAGGGTTCTCAAGGCCTCCATCCATGCATGAACCACGGCAACGGCTCCTAATGGACCAACATGTTCTTTGTTTCCCATCTTTGCTCACCGTCATTGTTCATGGCCCGTCTCGGGATCGATTCGGCCGGCTTGAGAAAGAAAGAGGCTGGTCTGTTGTGTCATCAGCCCGAACATACATCGCCGAACGTAACCCGGTTCAGATTTGTAGAGCATAGGAAGTAACGACTGTGGTTTTCGTTTCACGAGTTCGGGAAGGTATGGTAATGCTTGATCCTATCCGACATACACATCGTCCTAGAGTGACATCATGTCCGGGTCGGTATCATGGCCAATTCTTTCACCATCTAGACCTCGCGCCTTGGTCATGAGGGACGTAGGCAGGTAAAATACAGGTCTACGATGAGAGACGAACTCCGCCCTTCAGGTGAGAGAAATCTAAGTGACAGCGGAGCCTCTGGCCCTCTACTTCTTATATCTGAGTTTTCTTCTACTCTTCTCACTTGTTAATAACTCACTCATTACTTTCGCTTTTCGAGACGCACTCAGCAAAGTTTCTAACCTACTGATCCTCAAACTTCCAATAAGTAAACTTCCACCGTCCCAGTCACAGAGACAAGAAAACTACGAAGATGAGAGCCTTCCTTGTCAAGTTTATTGGACTTGCACTCTACATCCACGACCTACAATCAGGCACATTGACTCTGCTTCACGAACGCCCCAACAGGAAGCCAAAGGTGTATGTACTGAATGAGGAAGATTTCGAAGACGGTGTGGACGAAATCGATGACGAGACCGTCGCAATACTCGAATCCGGTCCCGAGACAAGCGCCGTAGGACTGAGTCTACGACTGTTCAAGAACGATGGAGCCCTCAGAATAACCTTCGAAGGCGAGCATGGCGGAGTCGTAGACTGGCAATTCCAAGGCTTGGAAGGCTCCAAAACGGGCAGCATGACTGCATGTGCTTTCACGCAGACAATGCCTGAGGCATCGACAGGCTGCAGAGTCGTGGAAGGTGTGCCACCCGAAATGTCGATCGGCAGAATCCAGACAGTGAGCACCGACCCCATGCCGAAACGCAACGTTCAGCCTCCAGCGTCTGGTCTTAGCATCATATCGACAACGGAAACCCGCCCCGTCAAGCCTACAATCAAGCCTACGATCACGCTCAAGCTTCCAAAGGAGGACCCCGATCTCTTCTCGCCAACTGTCAACAAAGAGATTGGCCTCAAACGCAAAGCGACAGAGGAAGTCGAGCAGCCGAAGCCACACAAACTCGCAAAGAGTTCACACAACTCTTCATCATGGCCATCTCATCTGTACATGACATGTTTCCGTACAAATCCTTTCTCCAAATGCGATGTCGGAACATTGCATATCGACTTAGTTGAAGGTACGGTGTGGTTCGAGGGCTGGCATGGCAGAGCAAATGCACGAACTTTCGAAAGAAAACAGGTTAATCTCAGTGACGTTTTGAGTAAGTTCTGATTGGTGAGGACTTCTGGGTCTCACATCCACTTGCAATACATACAAAGCAATGTCTAACATCTCAACCCAGCCTGCGTCGGTTATTATATCTATAAGAATCTTGCCGGAACAGACGGCTCCACTCACTCCCTTGACATTTTCAAGCCAAACACGAGAAACGAAAAAAGTTACTTGTTTACCGCAGACTGCACCGCACCCGGGTGGCAGACATGGGGTTCAGACATAGAAACAAGCCCACCTCCCCGCGTTGATCTTACGGCCAAGGAGATAAGAGAACTCAAAGAGGCCGGCATCATACGCGAAATACCATCGTCTCTCCCCATCGGGACAACAACAAACATTTCACCTGCCGTCATCGTCGATGCGATCATCCACTGCATTGACCGCACGTCAAAACGTCAACCCGTCCATGACCCAGATACAGACCACAAGCTGTCAGAAGACATAGAACGCTACACCAAACTTCGAAGAGACAGGTGCCTGACTTCAAAAGGGCGGGTTGACCTGGAGTTCACAGAAAATGAAATCGAAACGAGGGAGGCCCGCAGAGATGCGTACAGGACTGTGGCGGGTGAGGAGGAAGGTGACAAAAAGGCCAAAATTGGGGGTTTCACTTAAAACTGGGTGGAGGAAATCGACTTCGATCTTCAAAGGATCTGAGCGTGGCTGCTGGGCCACAGCGGGAATTAAGCACGTTCAAAAGCGATTGCTTTGTTTGCTGCCGCGGTCCTTGGGAGAAGTCGATTGGAAGAGTCCGACTAGTATCAGTTCTTGGGAGTTGTGCATTTGGTCTACATTTAAACCGAGCTCACCAGTAGCTCAGTAATAAACTATTCTTTCATGAACATGCATTGAGCTTGAGAATACTACCATTCTAGCAGAAGAGGTGAGATACCAACTCAAAAGTACACACAAAACGTAGACATATATGCTGAACAACATGCGCTGCTCGTGCATAAATCAAATACTCATTGGTATACATAAAACAGCACTTCCTTGCGCATAAACCCAAAGTCCAAACTCTCAACAAAACACAATTGCACTTGCCTCCCGTGGATATATCTACGCCGGCGCAGCAGCCCCCTCGCCGTTCTCCCCACCATTACCATTTCCACCTGTCAAACTAGACATGAACTCCTGCCATCTAAACACTTCAGTCCTATTACCCAAACTCTTCCCTCCCTTAGCAAAAGCCCTCCGCCCACTAAACCCCTCAATAGCCATATCAATCTCCCTCTCCGTCAACTTCCTCTCGCCAGCTTCAGGCGCAGTATGCAACAGCGCGTCCTTCAACTCCGCCAAATCAATCTGCCCATCGTCGTTGTCATCAAATGCTTCGAACGCGGCGGTCAGTTCGTTCTGGTGGGAGAGGTTGCCGAGGAGGTCGGAGAGCGTTGTCAGGTAGGTGGCTAGGTTGATGGATTGTGCGCCGTTGAAGTAGGTGGAGAGCTGGGAGGGGGTGGCTGAGAGACCAAGTTGGGAGAGCATGTCTGCGACGTCGGCGGGGTTGACGTGGCCGTCGTCGTCGCGGTCCATGACGCTGAAGGACTCGCGCATGCTGTGGAGGAGGGGTGGGGGCAGTTTGGAGAGGGCGTCGCTAGAGGCCATTCGTTGCATGGGTGCTGGTCGTGCTGTGCGCTCTGCTGGCTTGTACGTCTCGACCGGTTTGTATGTTTCGGCAGGCTTGAAGGTTTCGACTGGTTTGTAGGTTTCGACTGGCTTAAACGTCTCGACTGGCTTGTGTGTCTCGACCGGCTTGGGCTCCTCAACTGGAGTATAAATCTCGGCTGGCTTGAGGCTCTCAATTGGCTCGATGTTCTCGACAGGTGGTGACTTCTTTCTGCTAAACAGAGGCGGTGGTGCGTCGTCCCTCCCGGCGGCCTCAAACTTGGCTGCGATAGATGATGTGCTCAGAGGGCGCACCGTCATCTGCGAAGACGAGGAGACATTCCGCGTTGGCGAGACATTGCGTCCAGGCGAGAGATTTCTAGAAGGCGAATTGGGCGCTTCTGGGGTGCCCGTCGTCCCCCGTGTGTTCAGCCAGGATGGCGGGTTTTGCGATGGGTTGCCCCCGATGGACAGACGGTTGGGGGTTTGCGCAGGGGACGTCGGAGTCTCTTTCGGTTTGAGAGGCGAACTGTTCGGTGTCGACGGTCGCAGGGTAGACGGTGAGCTCTCCCTGATGGAGCCTGGTCTGCGGAAGGGCGACTGGCGCGGGCTGTTGAAGGAGAGGGGCGAGGGCTTGTAGGGCGTGGGTGTTGTAGACTGCATATCTGGGTTAGTCGAATTCATACAATTCCCAAGGGTCCAGCATACCATGGTGCGTATATTCGTTTTGGAGATGTCGCTGGTCGTCGCGTTGTTTGGTGTTGTCAATGGGATGGCCTAGCAACGAGCCTATCGATAAGCTGACATGGGTAATTGGCGTGGGCATGCAGGGTTCATTCACCCTCTGCGGGCAGCATAGCGGGTCACACGCATAGTCACAGCTCCGGATACTATGCGGTAGCCATTCACGCTCCCAGATACACGCCTTGCTAGATCAACTCCCCATCACCGCCAGCTACAGCGCGTCATGTTGTTTCGGGACGGTTACATTAGGCTCCCCTAGCGCCGTCGATCTATAATGTAGCATCCGAGTCGCCAGGTGCCCGTACAGAAGAAGATGGAGACACTCATGGCTGAAGTAATCGCACAGCGGCCAAGCGGGCCCAATGCCGCTCAGCCTGTTTCCCTGCAGCGCCAGCCCTCCTTCTCCTCGTTCCCTCCCTCGCGATCGCCCTCTACCCGCAATGGCCACCATCCGAAAGCTCGCTCCCCGCAACCCCCCATGCTCCGCGAGGGCGACGAAGACGACTCGATCCAGTCCTCGCACGACGAGTCGTACCAGTCCTCCATGGCCGCCATTCCCAGAGGAACCGCCAAGTTGCGCTCGCAGTATCCCGCCGACGCAGTTGAGAACCATGTCGAGTACATCCTGGTCGCCTCGTTCGACATTGACCGCGGCTCCATCATGGAGCACCAGTACCCGGCGGCTATCAGTGGAGACGAGACTATGCTAGCAGAGCTCATGTTGCCCGATCAGGCCCACGTGCGCAGTCAAGATTGGACCATCTTCTTCCTGCACAAGGACACCACAGCCGAAGAGGAGGAGCGCGAGGCACGGAGAGAGCGCAGGAGGAGGAGACGGCGGAGGAAAGAGGGCCTGGAAGATGAAGGCGACGACGATGCGACTGCCGGAACCGAAGAGCAAGACGACGAATACGATGACGGCGACGACGACACAGAGAGCGAAGGAGAGCCAGACCCTGACGGGCCCCCATTAGTCTATGTCTTGAACCTGGTCAACACCAAGCAGGACAATACGGTGAAGAGGTAGGAATAACATTTCCATGAACTTGGCAAGACTAACACTATGTAGAGGTGCCATCGTCAAAGCCATGGCTATATGCACGCGCCATCCTTTCCTGCATATATACAAGCCCCTGCTGCTACTGGCTCTCGAGGAATACTTCAGAGCACCTGTCCTGGAGACGCTCGAATCTCTGTACAACGCCCTCAATGCCATGGACCTCTCACTTCTCCCAAGGCTATCTCCCTTGGAGAACTTCGTGCTTGGCGCCAGTGACGCCAAAGACATGTTTGTGGAGAAGTTTGAGCTCATGGTCCGGCAGCGGAAGAAGCTCGACGCTGCAAGAGACTCCGTCGAAACCTCTTCAGATCCTCAGTCGCGGAAGAAGACGTACACCGTCCCGCGAGACACGCACGAGTTCGAGTCCAAGATCAACTACAACGGCATACCTGTCCCCGTCAAGATACCTACCGCTCTGAGTCCAGAGACTGTGGGCGACTTCTCCTTGATCAAGCTCATCCAAACCTTCTCCGCGCCTCACGCGGCGCAGCCACAGCCCTTCGCTTTACACCCACATCTGACCACGAGCGGCGCATTCACTCACCCCATCATCGTCCTCGTCAACGCTCTCCTCACACAGAAGCGCATCATCTTCATCGGACATAATCGCCCCTCAGGCGAAGTCGCCGAAGCCGTGCTGGCAGCATGTGCCCTGGCCTCTGGTGGCATTCTCCGTGGCTTCGTGCGCCATGCGTTCCCATATACCGATCTTACCAAAGTAGATGACCTGCTGAAGGTACCTGGCTTCATTGCTGGCGTCACCAATCCTGCATTCTCCTACAAGCCCGAGTGGTGGGATCTGCTCTGCGATCTGCCGACCGGTCGCATGAAGATCAGCAATCGCATTGAAACGGCGTCACCCACAGAGGGCTCCATGTTTTTCCAGCAACAGGGTCTACCACTGAATGGGCCAGGTGCACCACCAGCCTTTGACGGCAAGGGCGGCGGCGTCGACCCGACCGGCGACACCCAATTTATGGACAGACTTCTCGAGAGCATCGCCAACCGTCACGGCGAGAATGCTATCCGAGCGAAGTGGCGTTCGTGGGTGCTCAAGTTCACCCGCATCGCGGCCGCTTTCGAAGAGACGGTCTATGGCGCTTCAGCGTTGTACATTGGATCCCACGAGACCGATGTTGGCGCATATGGTGTCTCTGGCCATGGCTACGTCTGGCCAGACGAGAACCATAAGCTACGCGAGCTCGCTGCCAACGTACACCGTATCGAGGGCTGGCGCAACACAAGGAGTTACTACAGCTGCGTTCAAGATCTAGCGAGACACTGGAAGAAGAGGCCAGTCCGCGGTCTTGACATTGGCCACCAGCACGACAAGCTGCGATGCTTGAAATTGACGCACGATCAATCTGCGGGCATTTATCTTGCACTTGCACGATGTGTGGAAGAAGCGGGTTCACCACCTAGTGAGAGTGCGAATGCTTCTTCGAGTGATTTGTCGTCCATGGCCCAGTCACTTTCAATCGCGAATGAATCTGAGCGCAAGGCGAATTCGCAGCTTCAGTACGACACCATTCTGCAGCTGCTCTGTGTGATCCCAGATGCTGGTCTCTTCTATCTTAGTCTAGGCTTGTTTCATCCCCGACAGGATGTCAGGATGGCGGTCGTGAGATTACTAGAGAGAATCATGGACCACTCTGCTGGTCGGCACTACTGGGGTCAATTAGGACGTTTCGCCAAGCTGGCCTTCTTCAGAGTGAAGAGGGAAGAAGCGCAGAAGTAGTTGCGGTACGATAAGGCGTTGATGGTGTTGGATGGAATTGCCGGTATAATACGTGTCATGGAGTTTATATATGCTGTAACGTAGATATCTGAATGAATGAAATGAAGTACACATGGAGTGCCTAGCTACCCTCATGCAAACTAGTCGCCATGCAGCAAAGTCACGTCTGTCCCCCAGACACGCTACGAACCGTTGGATGCGCGCGCATCCCTGCATCGCATCTCATCTCCGCCTAAATCATACTCGCCCAAAATTTCCCGCTTCACCCCTCGAAATGCGCCCGCCCTAGTCGCCGTGTCGCAACGCCCATTTCGCCCTCCCTGCACTCTCAGACACGTTGCGCATGCTGTCTGCACGCCAATTGAACAGCGACAATGGCACCACCTCCACCAAGCGAACCCCCAGCGGTTAAGAAACGCGGACGCCCGAAGAAAGTCGTAGCCGAGGATGCGGGGGCAACACCAGCGGTCGAAGCGAGCAAGGTGGCTGTAAAGAAGGTGGCCGCGAAGCCTGCTGGGAAGGCGAAACTTGTGGAAGTCAAGAAGGAGAAGAAGACGGTTGTGAAAAGCGCAAAGACGGTTGCCCCTGCTGCCACTCCTGCCGCGAAGAAAGATGCGCCTGAGTCGCCAATTGCGTCCGCACAACCCACGCCCGTTACGCCGTCCACAAGCAAGATATTAGAGGAGGTACAAGCGAAAGGGACGTTGAAGAAGGCACAGGCTGCGAAGGTTATGGAGAAGGTAGCGTCGAGTACGGACAAGAAGACTGCGCCGCCACAACCCCAGACCCAAGAACCGACAACGAAACCAGCGTCCTCGCCGTCGAAACCAGCAGTATCAGCATCCACGAAGCCTCCTCCTCCAAAACCGACTACGACTCCCACCACTCCACGCCCAACAACAATCCCCCTCCCTTCACACCCCACAAAAGCACCCTCACCCATCTCCCCACCACCACCCGCCAACCCATACCCACGCTTCTCCAAGCCCACACAATCCACGCGCCACATACCACCGAACCCCTACCCAACCAGCATCCGTCCCTCCAACCAACAAGCACCTCCATCCCCACCACACCGCCAACACCCCACGCGCCTCATCGAGCCCACACCCGACATCAGGCTGCCGTCCAAATACAAACCCGCGTCGCGTAGGGTGACGGCGATAATGGTGAGTTTGCCGATTGTGTTGGTGTTTGGGTATGAGTTGTTTGAGCGGTGGAGGGGGAAGGAGGTTAAGCAGGTTTTTAGGGAGACGGAGGGGTCGACGAATGGATGAATGTTGTGACGGGTTGGTAACGACAGGCGGGGGTAATGACCTGTTGATGCGAGTGGTAATGATGATGACGACGAGTAATGTTGGGTTTGTATTTATAGCATCATCTATATGGTCTGGTCTCTGCTACGTCTTATGTATGTTTATAGAGATACGGTACACGGAAGGGGTATCACTACTCTTGTGTGCTGTTGCTGTTGGTATTCCAGTCTACTCTCTTCGAATCGTGTGGCGACTTATCTGGTTCGCCCTCCATGCTGGTTGAACAAAAGAAAAGGTGTGTGAAGATGGTAAAAGGGTGAACAGAATGTGAAAGACTATGTATAAGAATGGTAGTCGCGAAAAAGACATCAAGCTCAACCACCCACGCTACATGTAACTCTTCTTCCGCAGCAGCATGCCGCGAGTCCCCGATGGATCAATTGGCAAACCCGATGCACTGCCGCGACGGCTACCAGGTCTACTGGCAGACGGGGAACGTGTTGTGTTGATGGGCTCTACATCCAGTATCGGTGGGCCTACACTGACATCGGGTGTAGCAGGCCCTGGGGGATGGAATAGGCGCTTGTACCGCAGCTCTGGTGAGCTTGGTACGTTTGGATTGGAGGAGGATCTTGCGGCCGAGGTCATGGTGAGGTTGAACAGCGTGTTGGTACGACGACTGAGCGGACTTTGAGTTGGCTGTGGCGTGGGCTGTAGCGTGGGCTGTGGGGCGGCTTGCATCGTGGCTTGAGGAGTTGAAGGCCAGAGGGTAGGACCGGTGAACGTGGGTGATGTAGAAGGCGAGGGTGAAGAGAGCCTGTCTGTAGTGTCTGACTCGGGGTCGGCGAAATAGTCGTGGTCAGACGTGTCGTTCGTGGACGACATGGGATCGAGTTGGATGGTCTCGGTCCACTGGCGCCTTGCATTGTTTGCGCCTTGAGCTTGCTTCGCAACGGAAAGCGGTTGTGAGGACGCTCTCAAGGCTGCGCGAGACAAGAGAGGACTGGTGGGTGCAGACTTCCGCAGCACAGGGCTAGGAGGCTCCGTCCTGAGCTCGAAGCGCGTCATCTTATGCGTCGATTTCGCTCGCTTTCTTTGAGCGAGATCGTTATCCTGAGAGCTGGTCCGCCTGATATTGATGTCTTGCTGTGGTGTAAAGACGAGCCGTCCCTTGAGCTTCTGGATCGTGTCGTCCAAGGCGAGCTCAATGGCGACGTGATTTTGTATCCGCGAGAGCTTTGGCCATGTAGCTCGCTGTCCAGTCAGCATGCATCCGACCATGAACTCGGGCGTGGGGTTGCTTAAGACTCTGGGGAAGTCCGCGTAGTTGATCTTGGGGAAGATGTTGATGTCGCCTGAGTATCGCTGGCTGAGCACCGAACGTCCTTTTGTAACAAGGTTTGGGAGGAATCCAGTATCCGCTAGCTGTTGGAGGCGGTGCATTACCTCACCCTTGCAAAGACTAGCTGAGAGACTCATCCAACCGGGACCAGTGACGGCGTCTTGGGCTTCTGCAGCGACAATCTCCTCCTCTTTCGCCAGAAAGGGAACAACGTGCGGGTTGACCTGCGAGACAATGAAGTGATTCACGTTGAACATCTCGGCCAACCGGGTCATCGGTAAGTCGTTGTCTACTGAGCCATCGATCCATGTCGCGTCAGGGTTTGGATCCCAAAGTACTTCCAGGCCGGTCTTCGGGTCCTTGGCCAGCAGAGATGCCTTCTTGTAAACGAGCGGAACCGAGCAAGACGTGCATCTACGTAGAGTTAGCATGAACACAAAGTTTTATGTGTTCCTTCTACTTACACTGCAGACCAGATCATCACGTTCGGCGCTGTGATGTAATTCAAGAGTCTGGGCAGTTCGTAGAGCGACGAAGTCGAAACGGGAATGTTCAAGATACGTCGAGTCCGGTTGTATGCTTCTTGAAAGGTCAAATCGCCGAGCAGATCACGCATAACTCTCATGAGATGTGCAATGTCAAAAAGAGCTCCAGACTTCATCAAGCGCATTGCTTTGTTGATCATGCCTTCTGGGTGATCCGGGCTTTCAAATACGTTCAAGTCTCCAAAGCAAAATTGGTGCATAACCTCCGGGATCTCTGCATCGGTCTTTGCGCATAGGACCGCACTGACAATGCTTCCTGCAGAGGCTCCCGATATGATGCGTGGGAGAAGACGAGCGTCCCAAAGACCCTTGACGACACCGATGTGGTTCATCCCAAAGGTTCCACCGCCTGAGAGTAACAATGCGCTCCTACCGAATGATTGGCGTGTTTGAAGCAGTTGGTCGACCAGCCGCCGCGGCTCGATAGGACACTGGTCTCCCTGCTTCTCTGAGACGTCCAGCAGAGCGGCCATGGTTTGCTGAGCCGACTCGATGTACCTCTCGATCAGACGCTTGGTTCCAATGTGCGAGTGCTTGTACAGACGCAGGTCGCCCATGTCGCCCAATCCGCGTGTGAGGGTGGTCCTGATCAGGAACAGCATCCTCTTCACGTCGCAGCTCATGCGAGCATCGTCCAGCTCTTTCAGCCGGGCAGCAACCAGATCCACATTGTATTCCGGAGTGTCGTCCTCTTCTTTCCAGGCTTCGTTTCCTTCTAGGATATCGAGCTCGGTCGCGGCGGCTTTCCATTGGTCGTATGTCTCGGCCTGCGTGGCGATCTCGTCAGCATGTGAAAGGGCACCACCAATCTGAGGGACCCACGTCTTTCATGTGCAGGTACAGGACCTGCCTACGATTTGCTTCCGCAGCATCCACGGCTAATTCAGGAACATGGTAATCGCCTGCTGGGTCGCCCAGAGTCCCCAACGGATTTCTGGCCAGCTGCACCAGGGGTCCGAGGAAGCCACCATGGCTTTTGCTCTTCCTTATGGATTTCTGCCCATGTTGTCCTCCTCTTACGTGCAGTCGCGTACTGCCGCCTGTAAAGATGGTGTCAGACAGCAATGACATCGAGCGCCGGTACACGCCATGCGCGAATCCTACGAAGCGTGGCTTAGCCGGTGGTAGGAGGATCGGTAGATCGAGTGGTCGTGAAGGCAGCGTGCGGTGGTGTCGAAGTAGGGGAGTTGATTTCCAGGGAGTCCGTGACGGTCGAGGGAGTCTGTAGCCTAGTAATAGTGCTTTTCGAGAAGACGCGGTGTAGGGTGGCCGGAGATGGTCAACTGCGGGTGGTCATGCGCCTCGGTCGCGCAAGTCGCGGAAGGTGCGTCACAGGCTTGCCGCTTCAATACTTGTGCAATGTTGTCGCCGGACGACGAAACGAGCGCGAGAAGGGTCGGCATTAACGCCTTTGAAGTATTCGATGCGTGCAGCGCATGCTAGGGAGCGTGGGGACATGCGCATGGTACATCGTCATCGGCAAGGATCAACTAAACAAAGCCGGCGAAGGTGTCGCGTCGGCAGTAGTCATCAACCGACGCTGATACGACACGCATCTTCCACCTGTACCTGCAGGTCCAATGTTGGCAGACTACTGCACATGCAGCCATGGATCATGTGTCTTACGTGTAGCTGGTATCAAAGGCCGAGTGTCCTCTGACCACCTGTTGCTGTGCTCGACTCCCAAGAGCCCTTAATTGTGAACTGTGGGCACGCAGCATTAGTTCAAAAAGGCCATGTAGCGCCGCGAATAGCTGCTCGTCCGAAATCGCGATCCCGCGCTGCAGACGGCAGATCTGGAGAAAGCTGCAGACGTGGGGCAGCCATCCCTACCTGTTTTGACCGCCATCTTCGATCTTGTGAGTCCACGAGGCTCTATGCATAAGACAATGCACCCTCAAAAAGAATAAGGGTGTGACACAGTCAGTCGTGGCCATTCGCACAGGCACCGACCGGCTTACAGCTGGCGCCTCTTTCACATGTCAGACTTACACCCAACTGACTCAACACTCTATACGTGTACAAAAAAGGAAAGAAGCAACGCAATTGTCCATGCAGATAATCGCCTCTGTTCTGAGAATCTATTTCAAGCTACCAGATGGATACTGGCCTCGCCCATGAGATGGCGGCGTGTAGCTGGATCATAACGTCGTTGCCATACCGGGTATCATGCAACTGATAAACAAAAATGCCATACAGTCGCACCGAAACTCCTTTCAAGCCCACATGTGCACATTCATGCTACCATGCATGCCTCACACTACTTCATGACTCTTGCAAGTCTCGGCTTCTCGCCTTGAGTACGCACTACACGGTACCACCCCTTAGGCTTTCCCTCCTGTGTGACTCCTAGATACACCTTGCTGACGTTGCTCAAGTGGGCGAGTGCATTTGACCCGGGTAGCTGGTCCGGTAGTAAAAGCTCCGTGAAGGCATCGAGATGCTCGCGACGCAGGCGGTCCTCCATGAACAAGAAATTGAACATGATGCTATACGAGCCAAAGGCGATCAGGTTGAGCCTGTAAGGCAGCGTCGCTGTTTCCTGGTACATCTGACGGCAGACACCATTGAGCAAGGTAAAAACCGTGGGCCTCTTGACCCAGGGCTGAGATATCGTCTTAAAGGGATTCTGAGTACCATCGTATACTGTGCACTGATACTTGAAGATGGGTGTAACCCGCTTTACCTTCTTGGGCTTTGTAGGATCAAAGGTAAGGTGATAGGTCTGGTAGCCGATGTTGATAGTCTTACCACCAAGTGTGTACGTGTAGATGAGATTCCTCACGTTTTCGGGGAGCTGCAGGAGAGGCGAGTCGGTCTGGTTCGTTTTGAATCTGCTACAGTCAGTTCTATACATAAGGTGAGTGTTATCTGAGACATACTTGCGGGCTTGGTCTGAGCTTCTAGACAGACGTTCCCCCATTATAGTTCGCCGTGGTGCTGCAATCTCCTCAGTTTTGTATGTCTTCGGCTGGTACAGTGCTTTCGGCTGCTCATTTTTAATGACCCGCTCGAAGAGCCGCGATGTCTGGTTTGGCGCCGTGGGTGACGACTTGAGTGTCGCCGGCTCGCTCCTGTGAGTGATTCCCTTGTACCGCGCGAGATTCTCATCTCGCCGTGCTTGCTGGTGGGCTTTCTTCTGGGCCTCCGCTGGTGGCGTTGGCAGAGAGCCGTTCCTCGCCCAGCCATTTTGTTCTCTAGACTTGTGCCCTGTTTTCATAAGGCCTTTGAAGTTCTCACGGTCACCCTGTACACTGCGCTGATGCGGCTTTGGGGCTTGGTGCTTCTTGTTTTCGAGAACCTTATCGAAGATGGAGCGCGGAGGGTTCATGTCGTCATCAGGAATGGAGACGGGACCGTTGAACCAGGATTTCTTTCCTCGTCGGCTTGAGGGTGGTGTCGGTAGCCGCGATCCATTTGGCTCGGTATGCGTTTTACTCCGCTTGTGACGGTCGTCGTTCTCATCTGCTGGATCGCGGTCGTGAGGTGCGCGGCGTTTATTTGGGCGCCGTGAGTAAGTGACTTTTCCCGCCATTTTGCGGAAGAAGTTGATGACTTTTGAGAGAAGTGCGAAAATGGCGAGTTCGGATTGGGGAGAGCAAGTTTCCCTCGCCGCAACCGAAGAAAGTGCGAGGCTGCTCTATTGTGGCAGGTGCAGTTTGATCCACCTATTACCAATCAAGGTAGCGACTCGTTAAATGAAAGAATGATGAAGAAAGGAAAGTGAGTGAAGCTGGTCGTGGAGACCCAGTGTGCGTGCTTTCGCAGCCTTGAGCAGCTTACCACGCGCAACAGCCGCTGCAGGTGGTTAAGCAAGCAAACTCAGGGCGTGAGTACGGTGCGCAGGAGCGATTGCGTTCCCTGAACCGTCGAACGATGCCTACGCGAAATCTCAAAGCCCAACGAACCTGTGTGCACGACGATCGGATGTAGAAATAGATCTCCGCTTGTCGCGGTCTCACGTGGGATAGTAGTAGTCATCAACGATGAAATTGGTTAGCGGCCGGTTCTTAGTGGCACCATTTCTGAGGCAGCACAAACCTCGCCGGGCACATCATCAAGAGAAGAGCTACATGCGTGTCTGGATGACCACGTAGCCCGTAGAGTAAGGCGCATGTTCTTCTTCGTTCGTAGGATCGCGGGCGCAGCTTTTGAGCATTGCGACGAATCTCCCTCGTCGTCTTCAATCACTCTCATTCATGGCCTCCGCTCGGGTCGATAAGAAGAAGAAGGTCTTTTTATTACTCTATATCTGCAACACTCTAGTAACTCGCAAGAGCATCTCTCTGATTGGAAATATTCTGCGATGTCAATCATGCGATGTTCCTCCCGAGCGAGGTGAGAGACCCAGTTGCCCCGTGACGTGGCTTTGCTCTTCCCAGTCCTGCCTCCTCTTCCATTCTCTAGTCTTCAGATCATCTTGTCATCTCGCTTTTTGGAGCATAGTTTTTCCACGTACAGCAATATTCCAAGTTTCCATCGCATAGCTACTATTCCATTCGAGTAAGCCTCTTAGTTGAGTTGAGTCTCGCTCCTACCTGGTGGTCTTTCGATTAGCAAGCCAACGTCATTTCGTGGTCACCCAGCAAAGGTTCCAGCTGCTGGTGCTCCAGGCTGCTGCTTCCGCTTCGGGAAGTCGCGCTCACCTCGAATCCGATCGGCGGCAAGAGCTAGTCGGCTGCCTCGTCAACAACCTTGGCCGCACTTCTTCTTCCAACCTTGTCTCAACATCCGCGAACTTAGTATCTCCTAGCGCTCGTGCTCGCAAAGTGAGCATGCCGTTCCTCACGCCCAAGAATACAGGTGAGCTTTCTCGATGACGCTGCAGGTCAATCTGCTGCTATGTTGGTATGGAAACGCTGACTGATGTACAGTGAGCGCGGCCCCGGCCTTTGTATGGGATGCCTTCCCTGCACCGCCCCCGGAGGCTGAGACGTGTATGTATGCCCATACATGAGCACACATAAGACATCGCTGACTTAGTGAATAGGGACACCAGATCCTGATTGCATCGCCAGGCCCGGAGATCTTCCAGATCCTCGGTTCAACCGTGACCCGGAACATGACCGCCGTAGCAAGTCCTTTCGAAAGGAAGCGAAGATGCTTGCTGCAGCACAACAACACAGCCAGCTGCCTGCGTCAATGTCTACAAACGGTAAATCTCTAGGTCTTGGGATCGGTGCGTGGCCTGCTCCAGCTCCACGCAGTACAGGTTACCCTCGTGACCTGGTGCGAGGCTCTGGCTCTCCCTCACCTCCGGCAGAGCCTGTCAAAGAAAACGTTCAAATCTCTAGGCCCAAGCTAGCTGTGACGAAGCCAGTCGCACGCGTCGCAGGTCCTCCCAAGGGCACGATGGAGCTCATGTCTGCGCCATACCATCGCCGTCCAGAGACGCCAGTCGCATCAAAGGCTTCCACACGCTCAGTTTCACCCGTAAAGAGTCAACTCTCTGCATGGGAGCTCAGGATGGAGAAGGCAATGACCGAAGATGCTCCAGCAGCCGCTGCAAAGGCCTCGACTCGACCTGAGGCTAGTCGCAAGAAGTCGATACCTCCTCATTTGAGGACCAAGACCGACGACCTAGTCCAAGCTCACAAACAGCTCAGCTCGCTAGACCTGAATCCGAACGCGAAAGTGTTCGAGGCGCCAGTCAAGGTCGTTGAGGAACAAGACAACGCCACGAGCGAGGCTTTGGCCTGGAAGGTTGCTATGTCAGAGACCGGTATCGATCACGCTGAACAAGTGAGTATCAACACATCTGTACAATGCATGTCCACTAACATATTCTAGGGCCTACGCGTGCAGCAAGAGCTACTTGATGCGTGCATTGCCAAGAAGTCTACCACGTCTAGCATTCAACCTACGCCTGTCGCTACCACTAACAACACCAAGTACTGCGCTCCTCTCGATCACGAAGCCAAGAAGAATATCTTGCTCATACGCGCCATGGAGCATGAGATGGATCTTGAGAAGGTGGCACCTGAGCGCGAGCTCATGGTTATGCAGCGCGCCGAGCTTGACAGATACTTTGTCAAGGTCTGCTCTGCTCACCAGCAATGGTGGGAGGCTATGGGATCGGCATGAACTGTGTCACATCCCGGGTGTGCATTGAAACGGCGGCTTATGTGGTATGCATATACTTCCTTTCCTGGCAGACTCACGCTAATCACAAACACATACAGGCTCTCACTTCACGAGCGGACGTCCGCCCGCACCATTCAAGGCTCGGTGCTGATTGAGGAGTCGGAGTTTCGGGGAAGGATTATCTTGATCATTAGTATGCCCATCTTATTGTCTACTGTGGTCAAAGTGGAAGGACTCTGCTACTCGATGGGGTAGGACACTGGTGAACATCGTCGCACAGTAGGAGCAACGTCTGCGACTGGTGCATACGCATGTCGTCGCCATCAGTGGAAACAATACATGACACGAACATCATTGCGCATCTAGACAACTCGTGCACTGTGAAGTCTCGTGGCAAATCCTTTGACACCACTCATTGTTGGTCGTTTGCTGATCACCGAACAATGAGCGTTTGTCTCCGAACAGAGAGACATGCGACTGACTGCTTGCTTGTGACGTTTCAATTTTCGCGTTTGTAGTGCGTATAGAAGTGACACAACTCTTCATTTCAGGCTGGTATTAGCTAAGTATCAGCGCCGCTATGTCAACGCAACGCCAAGATTCGCAGCACGAAGCCACACGGGGCGCTGTCAGTACCAAAGTGGTAAATAGCGACTCTTCTATGAACTTGGAGATGGCCTACGACTATGCAAAGTATATGAACCCAAGCGAGAGGAGTGCTCCCATGCCAGACACAAGAACGCTCGAGATGGAACAGGACGGCAAGCCATCCATCACACTCACACCCCATAGCTACGACTCCACTTCTCGTTCCCCAGTCGAATCCCGGACACTGGTACATCTCTTCAAACCCATCAGCGAAGATGAGATACGCAACCATACGACCCAGATAACCTCGACATCCCGTGCCGAAGAGAACGCGGCACTTATGCAGTTGAGGGCAGAGATGGACGCGCACTTCCGTGTTCTACAGCGCGAGTTTGAGTGCAAAAGGGGTATTAGCTGGACACCATTGCGGCCGTGGGGTAACGAAGAGTGGGAGTGGAGCGATGATGGTAGTAATGAGGGGGACGATGTGTTCGACTGGTCCTGAGAATCACATGCGCGGCTGGAGAGGCCGAGCATCGTGAGGTGGTGATGAGGTATTGTTCATGTGACTTGCATATCCGCTCAAGCCAATGGAGAGCGATGTAGACAGAGTGTGGGGAGCATACGCGAGAGGGTTTTGCTCACGTGCCTCTCAGGATGGCTGGAAATGGTAAACTGGTACGCTACTTCTGAGCGAGGGGTTTCGACCCGTGATGTGCCTGCATGATTGTAGTGGTTGTAGTGGTAATGCTTCCCCGCGTTGTTCCGAACCAGACTTTCATTCCTGGGGAGGGGTTGGTGTGCATGAACTTACGCCTGTCGAGCAGCAAGTGTTGCGAGAGATGTTTTTTGATGCCATTCCAGGCTAGTAGTGTCTCTGCTTGAGTCCATTTAAAAGCGGAGATATGTTAATATTGAATCGAAGAAAATGATGCTGGTAATCGCGAGCAAATGTGCGCGGACGCATTCGAGGACCATGGTAGCAGGGGACGGGCCGTCTCGCGCTTCCGTCAACGGGGTCCACTACATCGAGGTGTATTGCATATGTGCTGACCTTTGTCAGTACAGAGCTGGGACTCTCGTCCCAAGTTCCACCGTCGTGCATACCAGCCATAAGATCTGTCGCCTCCCCGCACTCTCCATCTTTCAACCTTCACATTCCCAGATTTACCGCCGACTGCACTCTGCCTTATCTAGAGTTCAGTGTCTTACAGGCCATTCAACTTCCACGACTGAACTTACTGATAACATCCAAATCATGACGACCCAAGTTAGGAACGACAGCGACGCCAGTTCTGGTGGCTCTGGCCCCCGCAACAAGCAAGCTGCGGATGCGATAGAGATGGTCGCGACACACAGCCGTCAAGCCCAACCCAGCGGCCCCCTGGAGCTCAACGAAGTGAACGCATATGAGAAGACCGGGTATGCGTTCTCAAACAAGAAGAAATGGGCGATTTTGACTGTCGTTGGACTCTGCCAAACCAGCATGAGTAAGTGGCCTTGCCAACCATCTAGTCATGCGAGGCTAACAGGGCGACAGACTATAACGCAGCGGTCTACTCAAACGCAATTGGGCCGCTCAACGAGCACTACCATCTCGGCACCAACCACTTCACCAACGCAAGAGCGGGTATGGCATGGTTTTTGATCCTGTACGGTATTGGGTGCGAACTATGGGCGCCCTGGTCCGAGGAGTACGGACGATGGCCAATTATGCAGATATCCCTCTTCACCGTCAACATCTGGCAGATCATGGCCGGTGCCAGTACGTCCTGGGGCCATGTGCTGGCTGCGCGTCTGCTCGGCGGTATCTGCTCTGCCGGCGGCTCCGTCACACTCGGAATGGTTGCGGACATGTTCGATCCCGAAGATCAGCAGCTCCCTATCCTCTGGGTCAGCTTGTGGAGCTGTCTAGGTTCAGGTGTGTAGAGCTCATGTCGTAGAAGTCTGAGGAATGGAATGCTAACTGTCTCCAGTAATTGGCGGCATCTGTGGAGGTCCCATCGAGCAATTTCTTCACTGGCGATGGAACTTCTGGATCCAGCTTATCCTAGGCGCCACTGTTCAGTTCGTTCACTTCTGCTTCGTGCCAGAGACCAGGTCGACAATTATGCTTAACAAGGTAGCCAAGAAGCAACGCAAGCAGAACCCAGATGCCAATGTCGTCGGTCCGACCGAAACGGAGAAGCTGAACTTGAAGAAATGCGGCAAGATCATGGGTCGACCATACAAGATGTTAGTCTGTGAACCGATCGTTGGCTTCCTGTCGCTGCTCAGTGGATTCAGCGACGCCCTCATCTTCAGTTTCCTCGAGTCATACGGCTACGTGTTCGGCAAGGATGGATGGGGCTTCACTCCTAGTCAGCTAGGACTCGCCCTGTTCGCCCTCTTCATCGGCTACTGGCTAGCAGCAGTGCTATACGTACCCGTCATCCGGAAACACAATCAGCAGCGCAGCAACGGGAAAGTGCTGAGTCCCGAAAGCCGACTATCAGCCCTCCGCTGGATCGTCCTACTCCTACCGATTGGCCTATTCGGGTCAGCGTTTGTAGTAGCTGGCCCACCCCTTCCCTGGATCGCGCCCCTCATCTTCGCGGTCCTGATCGGATGCGCCAATCTCGCCATCTACTTTGCCACGATCGACTACATGGTTGCCGCGTACGGAGGCACGTATTCCGCTTCAGCCACCGGTGGCAATGGCTTCGCCCGAGACGTCCTTGCTGGTATTTGCTCCTTCTACACCGGTCCGATGTACAAGAAGCTTGGTGTCACAAATTCGACTTGGGTCTTGTTCGCCATCTCCGCTCTCGTCTGCGCCCCGGTCTTCTTCATCTACAAATGGGGTCCTACCATGAGAGCTAAGAGTCTTTACGCTGAGCGAATCCAGCAGGAGAGAGAAAAGAATGCCGCTGCCAAACAAGCAATGCGGGAAGCTTCGGAGACTGTGTCTGAGGTGCAGGCATGAAATGGGATGAAAGAATATGTTGTGTTGTCGTTATTCTTGGGTCCATCGCTCGTCTGCTGTTCGTTTTGTGATACCCAAGAGGGTCATAGTTTTGGGTTGCGCGAGTTGCTGGCAGAATCCTGTAGATATCCTAATGGACATTTTACCTTCATCGCGTCACACATAAATGGCTACTCGCTCATCGTGAGAAACGTGTCTCTGGGGATCTTCCAGATGCCCAGGAAGAGTTTCGGCATGGGAGATTGAGTATAATAGGTGGCTGCGGGTGGGTGGGGGATGCTTGGACAGGTTGATAATTGTAATCGTGAAGCTCTAAAGTCGCTGTTGTGGTCCATGCAAAGACGCGAAGCTTAGTGCAATAGCATTGGAAGAGCGACTTTGTAGTTTAGTGTGACGCTGATGCCTGATCGCGATTGCTGGGATCGTGAAGAGGAAGCAGGAGCGCTAGCGTCTCACCTGACACCGCGACATCGCGCATGGACTCGGCGCACTTCAGCCTAGAGTCGTGAACACAGCCAACACCACACGAGCCCATTGCGCGCGCAGTCACACCGCGAGCACACAATGCGCATCCCACCCGCCGTTCCTCTACCCATCTTCTAGCCCTCTCGTACCGACGCCTCCGCAATGTGGTTCCTGGAGCACGAGAGCCTCTTCGGAGGCAAGCGCGTCTGGCTCCGCCCCAGATCACAGCAACTGTTCGGTCGCACCAAGTCAGACGATAAAGATGGCCCACAAGGAAAGAACTGGAAGATTGACAACAAGGCGGTCTCACGCAAGCATGTCATGCTGAAGGTGTACGACGCAGCACCAGAAGACGGCACAAAGCTTCACAAGAGGTCACAGATTGAGGTGACGGATCTGAGTTGCAGGCAGGGAGTCACAATCGACGAGAAAACTACTCTGAAGAGCCAGAAGGCCTCCGATGGGTCGATAGAATACAGCCGCGAGACCCTGAAAGGCACCGAACATACCATCAGATTGGCTGCCAGCTATGCGCCATTCAAGATCGTCTGGCGCCCAGTCGTCTTTACATATGCTTCGAAGGAATCAAAAGAGAACAAAGCCCGCAGCGCGCAGCTACACACCCTAGACATCAAGACTACAACCGACTTCGTATTCGACAAGACCACCCACGTCGTATCCGCGAAACGGAACCTTCCCAAAGTCCTCTCGGGTCTGACTTCAGCCAAACACATCGTCACTACAGAGTTCCTTGATAAAGTCCTCATTGTGGCTGCTCCATCGGTCGACGAAGAAAACAATTACCTGCCTTCGAAGCTAGAAGAGGATTTTGATGCATGGTGGCCAGCGGAGAAGGAATACATACCAGGAATTGACAAAGAGCCGGTTCATCAGCCACATGAGATGTTGCTACCTGATCCCTCGCGGTCAGATGTCTTCTCTGGGCTGACTTTTGTGTTTCTGAGCGAAAGCCAACACAGTAGTTTGCTGGATCCCGTCACCGGTGGAGGCGGTAAGGCATTACTATACAATCTACAACTTGGCGAGACAACGGTAGACGAGTATGTCGATCACGTCCACAATGTGGCAGGAAAGAAGCGACGTGGCAAACCTGGCGACAAGCTTCCCGTCATAACGGTGCGCTTAAACGTACTAGCAGAGGACGAATGGCTCAAGAGCTTTCGGATCGGCGTTGATCAGGCACTTGGGCAGCGCTCAATCGAACAGAAGGAGTTTCTCGACACGATTCTCACAGGGGACCGTGCCTCAATACAAAGCCCGCCCGCAGAAGTGATTGCTACTGCACCACCAGAGGCCACAAGCAGTCGCCGCTCTATGCGTCAACCAACACCAATGTCTGAATCTAGGGCACCGTCGCAGGCCCCCGAGGAGAACGAACCTCCTGCGGAAGAGCCCGCAAAGATCAACCCACGAAAGCGCATCCACCGGCCAAAGACAAGCCGCTTCACGGGCTTTGATGATGACGAACCCATCCCGAAGAAGAAACTGAAGGTCGAAAATCCTCCAGTGGAAGACGTCCAGCAGTCTGTACCACTACGAGGACCATCGATGACAGCTTCGCAAGCACGCAATACATCAGGTACACCAAGTCAAGCTTCTCCGCCATCAAACACCCGAAAGACGATCGAGAAAGAAGAGCAGATGGATACCCTGTTCCCGACGGCCGCCAAAATGAGGGCACAAAGAGCAGCTACGCGTGCGCCATCGGCTTCTGTCGAGCCCGAAGAAGGGGGCCCGGTAAAAAGAGCATCCACTATAGCAGCTGCTCGGGAGCGACTCAACTTGGCAAAAGACAAGTCCGAAAAGGAAATCAATATCCGCGAGCATACTCGTAAGCGCATCAAAGAAGAAGAGGAGCGGCGCAAGGCAGACGAGGAGAGCTTGCGAGAAGCGCTTGAAGGTATCGACATCACTGAGCTGAAGAACCTGGCCCAAATAGAAGAGATGGACGTTCTACCTCGGCAGAACAGAGGCCCTTCGCGCAATCAAAGTCAAACCAACAACGAGCGCTGGAACGCTGAGTGGAACGGTCGCAAGAACTTTAAGAAGTTCCGTCGCCGTGGTGCCGAACAGGGCGTCCAAGCCCACAAAGTCATCGTCACGCTTGAAGAAGCACCAGCCAAGAAGGGCTTCGGCCTCACTGACGCCTTCTTCCTCGAAGACACCGAGCCCTCTTTCCGTTCACGCGATAGCCGGCGCGGTCGCAACGCAGCAGCGGACGATTCGTCAGAGCCAGAAGTCGGTGGCTTCACTCGTCGGAAACGGACCACGCAGTCTCAGGCGCAGCAAGAAGTAATTAATGTGGAAGACAGCGGACCGGACGACGAGGAGGTTCCAGAGCAACGAACACAGAAGAGTAGTGGGCGGACGCAGAGGGTTGTAGAGACACAGCTTGAGGGCACGCAGACGCAGAGGGGGAAGAAGAGGGGATCTGACGCTGCGAGTGGGCAGCCTGCTAGTAAGAAGGGGAGGTTTGGCAGAAGGGACGACGATAGCGATGATGAGGAGACTGGTTTTAGGTTTAAACGGAGAACGTGAGAGTAAGGTCATCAGCCTGTTCTCTCGATTTATACATAAACGCGTATGATACCCTGCATGGAGTGCGCAGCGATAGCGAGATAGGCCTGAGTTCATTGATAACGACGAGAGGGCATGTTGGAATAATTTTGATTCGTAATCTCATAGACAATGGTTTCGCCCCAACGCCGTCTGCCTGCTAATCGAGAGGGAAACTCGACGCCGTGCTCTTCATCCAACTTCCATACCGACAAGGTATCGCCAAGCTGTGCCCAACGCACCACGACTCATCTAGCCAGCCCCAGCTGCCAGAGCTTCTAGTCGCCCGCCTCGTATAGCGTTTCATCTTCCGCAGATCCGCAGATGACATGTCGCCGTGACTTCGTCGCTGAAGGGTATACAACGCATCTATCGCTTGCGCTCAAAGTAGGAACTGGAACCAAAGAAGGCCACGCTTTGGTCCATGACGGTCTCGCCGACCCAGAGGTAGCTCTCGAACCATTTCTGGGCGCTGGGGTTTTCGCCGAAAGTATCTGGCTTCACACTGGGTCTGGGTTTAGCTTTAGCTCCGATCTTGTAGTTTTGCGCGGCTCGAAACGGGGGGGTTGTGAAGGGGGGGTGGGTTGGGTGGCGCTTAGGAGGGATGGATGGGGACATACGTGAGGCCAGTTGAGCGGCGGACGCCGGCGAGGAAGGCGGATACTGGGTGCTGTTAGCGATGGATATGGCTGGGGCGAAAGTGAGGGTGCGTACTTAATACCGCATCGAAGGCGTAATGTGCGACTTTGCCGAGCTGTTACTTGTGTGAGTTACGGAGCATGCGACTCGGTGGTCCACAAACGCAGTAGTAGAGTAGTAGACATACGACCATGATGGGCGACGTGGGAGGTGGCGGATGAATGTGAGGCTACGTGAGGCTGCTTGGGAAGAGCGTGGCGACTGGGGTTCAGGAGGTTCGGCGGGTGTGGGTGTTGTTGTTGAGTGCAGGATGCGGGATGCGGTGTAGAGTGGAGGTGTGGCTGGTGCCCTTCCTTAGTCACTTGTCTGCATGTGATTGCGCTGGCACACGACCTCAGGGTTCCCTAGTGTAGAGGGTCTGAAAGCCGATGTGACAGGTGCATCAATTCGATCGAGTTCAGGTGCTACCCATAGCTGGGCATGTCCGTCGCGGGACTATCTCTATCGACTACCTATGCGACTGTCCGCGATGTCCTACAGGCTCAGATGCGCAGAACGGTCCCCACTAATATGGAACTGGACCGTATTGTCGCATCAATGGGACCTTCCCTTTGACCTCGGGCAAGCATGCGGAGCAGCTGCGGGTGATTTAGGAGCGGACCCTACGACAGGTGCGCCTGCTATATAACAAGGGCCTGCCGCGACGATGTCTTGCTCTTGACCCCATGAAACCTCCAAGACTCGACCATCTCCGCGCGGGTAACCCACTGAAAAATCCATTACACGCCAGCAGCCGGCCGCGCACCAGCACAACCGCCCACTAGCCGGATACGCCCAGAGCGCAGGCGCCGAGATTTTTCAATCGCTTTGCAAATACGCGTCGGATGGCTGGCTTATCTGGGCGGGATGTTCAAGGGCAATGAGGCGACAACGTGGGCGGAGTGGAAGAAGCAAATGGGCGTCACGACAGTCAACCATGGGACGTGTCCAGCAGGCAGTCGGCCCAGGGTTCGGCGCATAACGAAAGACTCTTATTCAACCAAACCGTCTCCAGACCATTTTCTGACTGCAATCTGTTTCCAATTCTCATATCCAAACCGCCGCAGGGTGCAGCAGCCCCACGTACTAAGCAGCATACTAGCGCGCTACTAACTGCCCCTCCAAAACACGCTCAACAGCCAACAAAACTTCTAGCCCGTCGCAGCTCAAGATAAACCCGTCGACCGCCGTTTTCCAGAGAGCAGCTTGTTCTTCTCTCCTCTTCTCATCCCCCAGCCGTCGCGCATTCAATTGGAGTCCTTCATACAGACTCTCTAACCGGCCCCGCACTCCGCGACAGCGACTCAGTCTTCCCACTTCACAGCCCTCTCTCTGAACACTATCAGCAGAAATGGCGAACGCGTACGTACAGATTATTCTCTTACAACAGAACGCCAGCAGTTCTTCATAGAAACTCTAGCAGTTGAGCTCATATCTTCACGCGTTACAAGTTGCTTCTACATAGAAGCATCCAACTCCAACACCTACTGACAGCAATACAGTCTAGACCACCTCAACTCCGGCAGGACCAGGATCGAGTGGCTCAGCCAGCTCAACACTGAGTACACACCTGCCAAGGAGTACCGAAGAACCTCCATCATCTGCACCATCGGTCCCAAGACAAACTCCGCCGAGAAGATCAACTCCCTCCGCAAAGTTGGCCTCAATGTCGTTCGCATGAACTTCTCCCACGGCTCCTACGAGTACCACCAGTCCGTCATCGACCATGCGCGCGAGGCGGAGAAGACACAACCCGGCCGGCCTCTGGCTATTGCCCTTGACACCAAGGGCCCAGAGATCCGAACTGGTAACACTGTGGGCGATGCCGACATCCCCATCAAGGCTGGCTCCATCATAAACATCACCACCGACGACCAATATGCCACGGCATGCGACGACAAGAACATGTACGTCGACTACAAGAACATCACCAAGGTCATCGCACCTGGTCGCATAATCTACGTCGATGACGGTGTCCTCTCATTTGAGGTCCTCGAGATCACAGACGACCAGACACTCAAGTGCAAGTGTGTCAACAACGGCAAGATCTCGTCGAGGAAGGGTGTCAACCTGCCCAAGACCGACATTGATCTTCCCCCGCTATCCGAGAAGGACAAGGCCGATCTCAAGTTCGGTGTCAAGAACAAGGTCGACATGGTCTTCGCCTCGTTCATCCGCCGTGGCAGCGACATCACTGCCATCCGTGAGGTGCTCGGCGAGGAGGGCAAGGACATCCAGATCATTGCCAAGGTCGAGAACCAGCAAGGTGTGAACAACTTCGACGAGATCCTGAGGGAGACCGACGGTGTCATGGTCGCTCGTGGTGACCTTGGTATCGAGATCCCGCCCAGCCAGGTCTTCATCGCCCAGAAGATGATGATCACCAAGTGCAACATTGCCGGAAAGCCCGTCATCTGCGCAACCCAGATGCTCGAGTCCATGACCTACAACCCGCGCCCAACTCGCGCTGAAGTCAGCGATGTCGGTAACGCTGTTCTCGACGGTGCCGACTGTGTCATGTTGTCTGGAGAGACCGCCAAGGGTGACTACCCCGTCGAGGCCGTCACCATGATGCACGAGACCTGCCTGCTCGCCGAGGTCGCTATCCCATACGTCAACGCGTTCGACGAGCTGAGGAAGCTGGCACCCGTCCCATGCCCTACTACCGAGACCTGTGCCATGGCTGCCGTCAGTGCCAGTCTCGAGCAGAACGCTGGCGCCATTTTGGTTCTGACCACGAGGTGAGTCTCCTAGCATGTTGTACATTTGTGATTCTAACGTGCATTAGTGGTACCACCGCCCGCCTCGTCTCCAAGTACCGCCCCGTCTGCCCTATCATCATGGTTACCCGCAACGAGATGGCTGCTAGGGTAAGTTTTGCTTTTTCCAGTGCACAGGGATTCCCTTGGCTAACTTGAGTAGTATTCACACCTGTACCGCGGCGTTTACCCATTCTACTTCCCCGAGAAGAAGCCCGATTTCAAGACGGAGCCATGGCAGGAGGATGTTGACCGCCGTTTGAAGTGGGGAATCATGAACGCCATCAAGCTCGGTGTTCTCAGCAAGGGAGATCCAGTTATCTGCGTACAGGGCTGGAGGGGAGGAATGGGACACACCAACACACTCCGCATTGTCCCAGCGCAGGAAGACCTTGGCCTTGACCAAGACGCGTGAAGGTAGCGTCGGAGCGGACGTTTGGTTGTTTAGATAGAAGGTGTGGAGTGCGCTGCCAGGAGGCGCATATACATGACTCGTTTGCGCAAATGACGGTCTGGCGCATAGGGACACAAGATTTGGTGTAAACACTAGCGGATCAAGCAAACTCTTTAATGATTACCTCTTCGCACAAGTTCCAAGTGATGGTCGCATGCTAGATAGGCAGTAGCTACCCAGGTACCTGAGGCGGCACAACGTTGGAACAAAGGAGCCCAGAGTGGAATCGTCCGTGCGCCCAGCAACACTAGGCATCTGTACACGATGGTGAGTCCGACGCACAACCCTACCACAACCCACGATGGACATATCTGCGCTAGTAAATCACGATGGGGAAGCATCGGTGCTACCGCGCCGTTCACTCTCCCACCCCCATTCCCTTCCCGCATCCTCCCCTGTCACTCCCGCCGCAAAGATACCGACGCCTAAACCCAGCCAGCAGCAGATGTCGCTGAAACGGAAGCGCCATGACCCCAAGCCCATATGGGCGTATCGCGAAGGCGAACAGCTTCCACCCGAGCTCAGGCAACTGCAAGAGCAACAACGTCAACAGTCGCGTCCCCCTCCGCCTGCTGTAGTCCCCCAGGCACACTCACGCGCGCAACCTGCGCTTCCATCTCACCCTCCGCCGCCGCGACCTCAACCGTCTCCGAACGCAGAACGAAACGGACACGCGCACAGCGATGCCGGCGCGCCCCCTCCTCCAGCAGCCACTGCATCTGGACTCTCTCGCTTCGCGCGGCCAATGTTTCACGATGCGCAACTCTACGACGTCGTCGCGCACGAAGTATGCGAATTCATCTGGGCCACAGCCGTTAACAACGAGGCGGTACGAAACGCGATCGCAGATCCAAAGGTGCAACTGGAAGTCGAAGCGCGCTGGGGTCAGATCCTAGAAAAGCAGACCGACCAGCGACTGCGCGGTGTCTGGAACACAGAATGCGTTATCAAGTCTGAAGCCTTGGATGTCAAGTTCGAAAGCACTATGACTGCTCTCCAACACAAGCGCATGAACCACGCCCTCAACGCGCAGGTCCAGCAGTCGAAGATACCCGGTGCTCCGCGCCCGCCGATCGATTACCGACATACCTACGAGACGGACATGTTCTACGAACTCGACCAGGAAGGCTTCTCCATGTTGAATCCTATAGTTCAGCGTCTCATCAGCGCATCCGGTACCCGGCAGAAGGTCCGCGTAACCCGCGACAAGAACACGGGGGAATTCGTGCGAGCCATGATAAAACATCGGATAGGGAACCTCGAGATCAGCTCTCCTAAGACAGAGTGGGACTATCGCATCGGTATCAACCTCGAAATCGACTTCCCGGGCCCGGTTGACAGCCTCAAGGCCGCGTTAGAGCCAGGAAAGACGCTGGAGAGTATGCAGCGACAAAAAGACCGCATGTCATATTCATGGCTGGGCGCATACCAAATTGATCTCACACAGGTGACACAAGGGACTAGCAAGAACCATGAGCTGGAGTTGGAGTTGGATTCTGATATGCTCATCGCTGAGGCAGACAAGGTGAGGCTCAAGCAGCCTACCGAGTTTGAGGACATAATCAGCGGAATGATGAACAATCTGCGGGTTGCGTCACGCATAATCACGCATGCCGCTTAGAAAAGGGGAAAACGCAACACCGTGGAGCCTACATTGATGCTAGGTGTTCAACTGTGCTCATTTTTTGTTCCAATGTACGCGCCAGGCCTGTTCAGGTTCTGCCTTGCACGAGGTGCTTTGTATTATTATTATCTGATCTTTGCGGCGTTACATATCCAGAGGCACAACGAAGATGGGATCAGCAGCATTATACGGAGTTTGGTCTTCAGAATTAAGATACCCAGTTTCACCTACCTCTTATAAAGTATCACTCTCGACACAAGCCTAGGAGACTGCATTGCCTTAGGGTGTTAACAAACTCCCTGTTTTATGCTGATGTA